GAAACTTGAACGAGTCAGTATGAAAGGTCGCTTCTCTGGAAATAATCGAGTCAATACCCTGTGAGTCACTCGAGCTTCCTCATAACCATACATATTGTGCAGATTATAATGTGTTGTGTTGTGATGCAAGGCTGATGGACATATTGTTTTGTCATACAACGAGTTCTGAAGGACTCGAGGAACATATGGAGGATTGTCTAGTTTATTCCATGAAGGACAACCAGTGAGTGATCCACCATTGAAACTCGCAGGCTCATTCATATCTAGCCACAAACCATCGAAGTTGACCAGCTTGTGGAAGTCTGACGCAGACTTGTACCACCAATCCTCAGTGGCTGGGTGAGTGAAATCTGGGAAGACGGTCTCTCCTGGCCACACAGTACCCAGAATCGGAGTACCAGTCCGACTGTCATTGATGAAAACGCCTAGTCTCATGCCTTCCTTGTATGGTAAATAGTCTTTACCACCCTTCGTGCTGACAGCTGGATCTACAATTAACACAGCTCTCATTTTGTACTTGTCGTGTAGGACATCCTTCACGAAATCACTCATCCCACCGAACCGCTTATTGTCCACTGACCAAATCTTGTATGCATCCATGTAGTCGATATCAAACCATTGTGCGTCTACCGGAATCCCTGCATCCAGATTCCGTCTCAGTACTGCCTTCACTTCATCCAAATTCTTCATACCGTATCTACAGAGATGAAATCCTAGTGACCAGTATGGTGGTATCGGTGGATGTCCGATGAGAGTGTAATATTGATTCACGACATCTAATGGTTTTGGTCCAGTGAAGATGAAGAAGTCTAATATGCCACCGATTGTTCGATATGTGATAGCTGGTAGAGGCGTTGTAGCTACTTCTTGTGCATTGCTGTTGAGGAAGAAGATCCCGAATGCAGTTCCATCATGTTTCAGACCCATGAAGAAATTGTGTACACCATAAAGATTGGCATTTGGATGTGGATCTCCATCATGTGCCCAAAAGCCTGCCCTGGTCCATGCATTAAATGTATTTGGATAATGTTGCTCTAATTCTCCAGGACCAAAACCGTTTTGAGCGTTTATGCGGAATGATATTTGTATGAATTGATCGGAAAAAATAAAAGCTGTGGCTAATGATCCCGTCGAGTCCATAAGTATTTCCTGTTCATTATTATTTCTCATGATCTGAAAGGTAAACAAAAAAAGTACAAGTGAATATAACGACTATCTACCAGAATATTAAGCTAACTAAATTTTGTTTAAATTATTATGGAGTGCAAAATAAACGAACATAAAGATCTATATTTTGGTATTAAGTAAAAACAGTTGAGGTACTGAATACAGACCCCTGTTTGTAAATGTCTGAAGAAAAGTTTTATGCATTTGTTATCCTAAGAACGAACAATTACGTTGAGAATCAATAACTTATTAGAACGATAAGCTCTATTTACTGTTATTTAATGAACAGATTCATTCAACTAAAATCTAGTACCTTGAACAGCTTTACTGTTTTAAATCGTATGCGATGACTGACAGTGTTTGTCATGTCACTTATCTCTTCAGATATGTAACATTAGCAATGAACTAGAATTTGGCAAAATGTTGTGCTAACGTTATTTTAATTAATGGTGACTAGCAGTGGAATCCAGGATTTATATTTTGTCCAGACTAATGTGAGGCATAAACGCATGTTATCCATGGGTGTATCATCACTATTCACTAATGTACCGCTTATGGAAACAGTAGACTATATTTGTCAAGAAATCGCCGAAAGGTAATTAGACTTAGGAATCCCCTTGTGTAGCCTCAAAGAATTACTTGTTAAATGTACAATGAATGTTCACTTTGTCTTCAATAATTCATACTATCGACAAGTAGATGGAATAGCTAAGGGTTCGCCATTAGGACCAATATTAGCTGACTTCTTTCTCGCAAAACTTGAAAACGGGAAATTGAAGGACATCACCAAGCAGTTTGATATGTGTTACCGATATGTCGATGATACCTTTATCTTAGCTGATGGGAATGTTAACATAAACGAATTGTTGCTGAAATTCAACAACATCCACCCTTCGCTTACCTTTACTTGTGAAGAGTAGCAGGAGAATAAACTACATTTCATGGATGTCTTGTTAAGTAGGAGAGAAGATGGGTCACTTCGAAGAAGCGTGTATAGAAAAAGCACTTTCACGGGGCAATACACACACTTCCTTAGTTACGTGCCCATTAAATATAAAAGGAATGTTGTAAAATGTCTTGCGAGCAGAGCAAGAAAGATATGTACAGATGACCTCTTACAAAATGAATTTGAATATATTCACCATTCCTTGATGGAGATGGGCTATCCGAGCAGTTTCATAAAGAAACATATGAAAATATCGGAAAAAACCGGAGACTCTGACTGCACGTAAGAAACCTCTATTTATTAAGTTACAATTTAATGGTGACTTATCAAGTGAGATTCTATTCCAAAGACTTTCAAGGAGTATAAGAAGAACATTTTATGCAGCACACCTATGTTTGTCATTCTCTAGTCAACGAATGATTGGGACGCAAACGAAGGATAAGCTTGATAGTTTTGCCACATCTATGTGCATTTATCAATTCAACTGCACCTGCGGTGACAGTTATATTGAGCATACTACTAGACAGCTTAGCCAACGTGTTAGTGAACATCTCCCATCGTGGTTTGGTAAAGGACAGACAAAAACAATCCGTAGCTCAATTTTGTCACACTTAATTGATAGTGGTCATGTAATCGAGAAAACGAGAGCCTTCAAAGTGATTCATCGTATCCCACCGAATCTTTCCAATAGACTTCGTATTCGTTTACTGCACACAGCTGAGGCGATAGGCATTCGAACTATTAAACCTAAACTATGTATTCAAAAAAGTTCGTACAGCCATTATCCCTCCCTTGGCCTATTAAGACATAACCAACTAATGACTTCTACACCACCCTTTGTTTATATTTTCAACCCCTTTCTTATCATCCCTTAATCTTATCTTCATTATAAACGTGTTTCATTTCCTTCCCTTACAATCTAACATTACTTAATCGGTTCATTTGTTTTTACTAGCCTTTATCGACTACTTCCACCTGAACAGTTGTTTGTTTAATCATGCTGTTTTTCATTATTCGTGTTATCACAGATTGCTTCACTTTTTCATCCGTATTATTGATAAGACCATTTTTATTTATTACTATTATTATTATTACTGCTATTATGACTAATTGCACAATTTATATTCACCATCGTATTATCCTATAGACAAAACACCATGATTGGTTTATATTTGAATTTTTATTTGTTAACTTATATATATTAGAGTTAAGCCTGATGAGATCTAATTGAAAACAATATTGTTCGCTTAAATGTGTTGTTCTATATTTTGTCCTGTTTGGAACTCGTCAGCTGGGTGTATATGCATTCCCAGTGAATGATGGTGTCTCCGTGGAGACTCGTACCCTACACTCATCATTTTAAGTGCCAAAGCCTTATCCACTAGGCTACCAGGGCCACAGAATCGAACCAATGTATCTGAATAGATTAAGAACATTGCCAATTACCTGTTAAGAAAATAATTTAATTTATTCGTATAGTTTATCAGTTGTGACACTCGCTCTTCTGTTATCTTGTTTTGTATACAATATGATATAGAGCTTCATCAAACACTCATAGTGAATACGACTCATCTATGTATTTATCAACCAATGAATATGAACTGAAACTGTAACCAACCTTAAATAAACTGTTCAGATTGTATAAAATAACTCGTATGATATTCATAGTGGTAATCATCTAAAGCACCTTGTAATTTTCTTGCTTATCAAAAAGACTAACCGCATTTTAAGTGAAGTCAACTTTAATAGCAGAAACAAGCTGATCCACTTAATAATATATTGAAAAACATAAAGAAATCAACAAAGAGCTTCACTTTTTCAAAACATCCTACAAACAAATCTTATAATCTTATATAAAAAGATCTGGATCAATTCAAAGCTTCAATTCTTGACAGCTGTTACAAGTACATTCATACGTGACCGAGCCACCGTTATCTACTAACCAAGGAACACAGACGACAACTTAAACAGCTCCAAGAAAATAAAGATATAATCCTCGTCCGTTCTGATAAGGGCAATGGTATTGTAGTAATGAATAGATCCGATTATAAGGAGAAAATGACAAATATACTATCAGATAACACCAAATCCTCCGAATCACCCAACCAGAAAGACACAACTGAAAGAACTGAAAACCTACTTACAAAATTGCTGAAGAAAATGAAAGAAGGAATCGTCGAAAAGAAAATTTTCTTTGCTGTTTGTGCCTTTTTCTTATATATCTTATAAAATGATTATTTCGTCTGTAACAGTGGATTACTAGAAATACATACTAGGTAAGCCAATGAATGCAAATATTCTCAAAAATGACTTTGTATAGAATAAATGGTGTACTTATGACCGTGAAGAAGTTAAAATATTTTAGAATAAAGTAAATTAACTATATATATCCACAGTTATATAAAAACTAGGTTCATCAGCGGGTAGACCGGTTTGAAATTCAATACAATAAACTAGACATCCTACAAACTCGGAAAAATATTTGATGATAACTAAAGCTAAATAAAGTGCGTCGGTGGTATAGCGGTTAGGACGCTCACCGACCATGCACATGGTCCGGGGTTCGATCCCTGGCCGACGCACTCCTTTACCTCGCTGAGCCAGAAATAATGCTGGTGAAGAGAAAAGGTTGGGTATGAGGCTAGCAACCCTATCCTGTAAAATAAACTCTGCTACAGAAACTTCAAGCCACTAGCTTGAAGCCCTATGTTTCACTGGGGAACGTGAAGGAAAAAAAAGCTAAATAAAAGCTTAAGATTCTTATATAAAATGGCATCAGCACCAGTTAAGTGTAGTTACACAGTTAACACATGTATATCAGTTATACCACTGGATACTTCAAATGAAAAATAAAACAACACACAATAGTAGTGTCTTTCAACTACACTAAAGATATACATACACCTAATGGAGTTTAACTCTTTCGAGAGACAACTGTTTAATGTGCACAGATTTCTGTCAAAAGTGACTTTAATCTAAAGTTCGAAACATTAGTTTAATTTTAAAATAATTGAAGCTGGAAAATCCACTTGATGACGACATACTTGTAATCATTTTTCGTGTTAACCCAGAGAGAGAGAGAGATATTATGTTGATCTACCTTCCATAGTGCTATCCACAATACAAAAACAAAAGCCTTGTCACTAACACCTAACTTTTGTGTTCTACAAAAGTATTTTTCAGAACTGGAAATCTATGCACAATTTTAAAATCTAATATGGTCAACCTTATTTGGAAAAGATTGTTTTTAAAGTAGGTGCGTGGATGACATCATAGTTATTTGTTAAAAATCGATACTTGCCACAGGAATTCTTAACCGAATGAATACCGTATGTCGTTAACATATATGTGGAAGAATTTAACGATTGCTTGCGATTTTAAAATGTACTAATAACTCACCGACAGGATGGGTCAGTAAGACGACCTGTCTACAGGAAGCCCACCTAGACGGGACAGTATCTAAATAACTATGTCCACTTCACTACGAAAAGGTGTTAATTAACTGCTTGTTCTGGTGTATTCTATATATATATATATATATATATATATATATATATATATATAGGATAATGTCAGGAGACAAAACTCAAGACATCACTAAAATATTGTTTGATAATAACTATCCTCTGAAATTTTTTAAACGCAACATACGGCCTCCATCAATCCAATCAGTTCCAGAAAGTATGTTTATACGTCTTTATCTTTCAGGGGTGATCACCAAAGTTCATTCATTAAGCCAAGACTCAGAGTGACACTTAATAGGACCTAATTTGCAGCTAAATTCATTTTCATAGAGAAAACGAGATTTATGTAGTCCTGTAAAACCTTACAGCATCCAAAGAGTAGCATCATATCCTACTGTGTTTACCAGTAGTTTACATGTATATGTGACCTCATTGGTCTCTGCAAGTCAGAATTACAGTACACACTCCTAAATGGCTACAAGAACAAATACAATTACCTGACTCACTTTATTCAGGAGACAGATAGATGTCCAGCGTTATCTGCCACAAATCACATCATAGAGACAGGTCATAAAGTTCATTTCAGCAATGTCTTT